TGTGTGTCCAAAACTGAGGCACCATGTTCTTTGAAAACATGCCACCTCAAGGCTGAGCACAGTGGCTCATGCCTGTAATCCCAGCACTTTGGGAGGCCAAGGCGGGAGGATCACCAGAGGTCGGGAGTTTGAGACCAGCCTGACCAACATGGAGAAACCCCATCTCTACTAAAAATACAAAATTAGCCTGGGGGTGGTGGCACATCCCTGTAATGACAGCTACCCGGGAGGCTGAGGCAGGAGAATCGCTTGAACCCAGGTGGAGGTTGCGGTGAGTTGAGATCGTGCCATTGCACTCCGGCCTGGGCAGCAAGAGCAAAACGCCATCTCAAAAACAAACAAAACATGCCACCTCATGGCTTGTATTGTTGGGCCCTATGGTTGCAAAGCTGCCTCCTGAGTTAAGGAGGAAAGGGAAAAGATATAGCTGGAAGTGAGTGGAAGAGATGCTGAGGGCTGGGGCTGCACAGATGCTCTCAGCAGAGCTAGAGGTGCTCAAGCCCTACTGGGGATGGATGGGGAGTGCGGCAGCGGCATTTGCTACCTTAGGAATCAGGGCCAAAGCCACTGATGTTTATTTGACAGCAACACTGCACTGGGTACTTAAAGAAATACTTAAAGAAATTATTTCCTGTTGCAATTATAATTACTGCTTATTAAGGAAATTTTGGGAATTTTAGAAAGAATCAAGTTTGCCACCCAAATGCTACCACTGTTAATCTTTTGGTGTTAATTGTTCCCCTTAGACATTTCTGTGCATAGATTTTTGGTGTGTTTACATAGTCATTATTCTACTGTATATACAATTTTATGTCTCTTTTGTACTTAACATATAAACATTTTTTCCATGTTACAGTCTTAAACAGAATTTTATGGCTGCCTTCTCTTTGATTTGAGTTTCTGTAGCATTGTTTTCCTGGTCCCAGAGCTGGAGGGAGGCTTGGGTTTTCTCCTATTAGTTCTCCTGGCTCACACTGCAGCTTGCTGTAATGCTGTGTGGATGGATTGCTGGGCTCTCTGGGACTGCCTCTGACTGCCCCTTGGTAACTTAAGATTTATGGGCTGGTGGGAGGAACCCCTAGAACCAACGTTCAGCCCCAGGCTGTAATAGCCATAGAGCCAGAAATGACTGACTGGGAAAGGCAAGCCTGAGCCAGCCTGAGTCTTTGGAGACTGTCTGGCACTTATCTCAGGCTGCCTTGCATCCCCTACTGTTTACCTCAACCCTTGACCACATTGACAACCTCTAGTTGGAATATGTTTTGTCCTGCTAGGCCCTGGCTTCAGGAGGGCAAGGATATTGGAGTCTCTCTCAGGCCCCGGCACACAGTCTGGCAGAAGGTAATTGCTTTGGTTACCCATCAGGCTGCTGCTCTAGCTCAGCATCCTCAGAGCTGTAGAACCTGCTTCCTGCTCTTGTTTCACCCTCTCTGGATCAGCGAAGAAAACCTCGGGCCTGCTACATTTTCACATTGCTCATGGGACTCTGCGACAGTGGCAGAGGGAACATCCTAGCTTGTGTGTGACAGGCTGTGCATAGGCTTCTCTGACACAGACTGTACGAAGGAAGAGACCCACTCCTGGCCTGATGGGAGGACTGCTACCATGTTCAGCTCTGCTGGGAGACATGAACAAGTAGGTAAGCATGGCTGCCCTTACAGCAGCCACTCCAGTCTCTGGCCTGCTCGCAACTGAAAGACCCACTTCACCCACTCCCCAGGCTTCAGCCTTGTGATGTGAGGAACAACAGCAGGCCAGGTGGCAAGCTAGGCAAGCAGGCTGTGGGGGCGAGCTGGCTCAGCAGTTGATGTGGGTAAGAGAAGCAGGCACAGGATGCTGCCCACACTTTTTTTTTTTTTGTTTTTGCCCAGGCGGAGTGGTGAGGTAGTGGGGGCTGTGGTGAGGAAAGAGGAAGTGACACTCCTACAGGCGGGTAGGATAGCACTCAAGCTGCCTGATTAGAGGAGTCCTGGTGAGACTACCATAGGGCCCAGCTGTGGACAGGTTCAGCCCTGAAGTCTTGCACTGTGGAATACAGCAGTGGGAAATGTCTGATGCAGTTTTTCGAGTCTTCCCTGGAGAACGTGTAGGAAATGAAATCTACAGTTAACGGGTAGGAAAGGGGGTCTGGGGCCAGGTGCAGTGGCTCATGCCTGTAATCCCAGCACTTTGGGAGACCGAGATGGGTGGATCACTTGAGGTCAGGAGTTTGAGACCAGCCTGGCCAACATGATGAAACCCCATCTCTACTAAAAATATTAGGTGTGGTGGTGTGTGCGTGTAATCCCAGCTATTCAGGAGGCTGAGGCAGGAGAATCACTTGAACCCAGGAGGCTAGAGGTTGCAGTGAACTGAGATTGCACCATTGCACTCCAGCCTGGGTGACAAGAGTGAAACTCTCTCCAAAAAAAAAAGCCGGGGGGGTGGGGGGTGGGTTCTGAGAGCCTCTCAGTTGAGTTAATTATACAGGTTTTACCATTGGCTCTGCGACCTGTTGGATATTCTTTTTGGCTGCAATTTTGGGCTGTCAGTTGCCTGGTAAGAGAATTCACATAAATTATAAAGTAGGAGTAAATCAGGGAAGGGTCAAGTAAAGCTGAGGTCATGAAGGTGGTTGCCTTGTAATTCAACAGATACTTCATGAGCACTTGAGCTTTGGTACGTTCTAGTTGACAGCATAGTTGTTTTAGTTGACAGCATAGGTGTTTTTGAGACAGGGTTTCGCTCTTGTTGCCCAGGCTGGAGTACAATGGTGCGATCTTGGCTCACCGCAACCTCCGCCTCCCAGGTTCAAGCGATTCTCCTGCCGCAGCCTCCCAAGTAGCTGGGATTACAGACATGCGCCACCACACCTGGCTAATTTTGTATTTTTAGTAGAGACAGGGTTTCAACATGTTGGTCAGGCTGATCTCAAACTCCCGACTTCAGGTGATCTGCCTGCCTCAGCCTCCCAAAGTGCTGGGATGACAGGCGTGAGCCAGCATGCCCGGCCCCATTTTTGTGTGTGTGTGTGTGTGTGTGTGTGTGTGTGTTTTGAGATAGTCTCACTATGTTGCCCAGGCTGGAGTGGAGTGGCACAATTTCCGCTCACTGCAGCTTCTACCTCCTGGGTTCAGGTGATCCTCCCACCTCAGCCTCCCGAGTAGCTAGGACCACAGGCATATATCACAATTCCCAGCTAATTTTTTGTATTTTTTTATAGAGATGGGGTTTCACCATGTTGTTCAAGATGATCTCAGACTCCTGAGCTCAAGTGATCTGCCTGCCTCAGCCTCCCAAAGTCCTGGGATTACAGGCGTGAGCCACTGTGCCTGGCCAAGATGACAACATAGTCTTTTTGGATTAGATGAACTAAGCTGCTTATTAAACAGCAAGCCCTAGGGCCCTAACTTTATCCAGCTAATTCTAGCTTTACAGAAATTTGCATTCAAAAGTAAGTGAAAAAGTCACAGTGTACATCTGTAATTCCAGCTACAGGCTGGGAGGACTGCTTGAACCCAGCAGTTTGAGACTAGCCTGGGCAAAACAGACCCTGTCTCATTACTTTTTATTTTTTTGAGATGGAGTCTCGCTATGTCGCCCAGGCTGGAGTGCAGTGGCACAATCTCAGCTCACTGCAACCTCCACCTCCCAGGTTCAAACGATTCCTCTGCCTCAGCCTTCTGAGCAGCTGGGACTACAGGCGTGCACGACCACATCCAGCTAATTTTTGGATTTTCAGTAGAGACAGGGTTTCACCATATTGGCCAGGCTGGTCTCGAACTGACCTCATGATCGGCCTGCTTCGGCCTCCCAAAGTGCTGGGATTACAGGTTTGAGCCACCATGACTGGCTTTTTTTTTTTTTTTTAAGTGAAAAGACCACCCTTCCAGTATCTCAAACCCATAGCCTACAAGTAAGTACATGGTGGCGCATGCCTGTAATCCTAGAGAAGCTGAGGTGGGATTATTACTTGCATCCAGTTTGAGCCAGTCTGGGCAACAGACCCTGTCTCTACAAAAAATAAAAAGTTAGCAGGGTGTGGTGGTGCATACCTGTGGTCCCAGCTACTCGGAATGCTGAGGTGGGAGGATCACTTGAGCCCAGGAGGTCAAAACTGCAGTGATCACACCACTGCACTCCAGCCTGGGTGACAGAGTGAGACCCTGTCTCCCCCCGTGCCCCGCCAAAAAAAACCTAGTGTGGTGGCTCATACCTGTAACCCCACCACTTTGGGAGGCTGAGGCAGGTGGATCACTTAGAGTCAGGCGTTCAAGACCAGCCTGGCCAACATGGTGAAACCCCGTCTCTACTAAAAATACAAAAATTAGCTGGGTGTGATGGCGCATGCCTGCAGTCCCAGCTACTTGGGAAGCTGAGGCAGGAGAATGGCTTGCACCCGGGAGGTGGAGGTTGGAGGTTGCATTGAGCCCAGACGGTGCCCACTGCACTCCAGCCTGGGTGACACAGCGAGACTCCATCTCAAAAGGAAAAAAAAGTGATGGTAGAGACTTCTGTTTCCTGGCCAAAAATTCTCTCACTGGGGCTCACCCAGGCTGAGAACTAGGGAAACTGCAAAGAAAACATAGTCCTGATTATGTGCAGGCTTACAAGGTGGAGCTAAAACTAATCCACTGGAAGGTAACAAGAAACAGCGATAGGTATCCTTTTTTTTTTCCTTTTTTGAAACAGAGTCTTGCTCTGTCACCCAGGCTGGAGTGCAGTGGCACCATCTCCACTCGCTGCAAGCTCTGCCTCCTCCCGGGTACACGCCATTCTCCTGCCTCAGCCTCTGGAGTACGTCGGACTATAGGCGGCCGCCACCATGCCCGGCTAATTTTTTGTATTTTTAGTAGATACAGGGTTTCACCGTGTTAGCCAGGATGGCCTTGATCTCCTGACCTTGAAGTCTGCCCGCCTCGGCCTCCCAAAGTGCTGGGATTACAGGCGTGAGCCACCACACCCAGCCAACAATAGGTATCCTTAATCCAAGCTGTACAGCAATTCATGATTCACAAGTCTCTTCTGTAGAAAACATTTAATAGGGAGGGGATGGAACAACAAAGCAAAGGCAGTGTTGGGGCATCAGACCACGGCAGGGCTGGAACTAGGGAGAAGCAACCAGTTAGGAGGCAGGCTACTACAGGTAACAAATGGAGAGCCCTCTCACCCAGCCAACTCCAAGAGTTCCTCTAGTCCCTTGTGCTTTACCCCAGACTTTAGCCCCAGAGCCTGTTCCTCATCTCCAGCAAAGAATAGCAGGGCAGGACCTGAGTTGGTCTCTTTTCAGGGGCTGTCTTGAAGATGGCTGTTTTAGCAGACATGAGGCTGCCCAAAGGTTTCTATAAGCCACCCTGCGTGGACTTTGGGGGTTGTTGAACGCATGCCCTGACATGCATGAATTGGAGACCTGGATCTAAACATGGGTTAGCTGCCCATCCTGGCATCTTTGGCTAATACCCTTAGCCTGGGTGCCCCTGAGAATACTTTGGGCTGTTGAAGATCCTGTCTGAGGAACCTCACATGGGTTTCCTAGTTAACTTGTAAAGTCACTCTGCCAGAGGTTATCACCGCAAAAGGCAGGACCTGGTGGGCTGGGCTCTCCATACCCTTCCAGTTCTGACTGCCTGGCATAAATGTTCCTCTTGAGATGGATGTGTGTTGAGGTGCAGGGAGAGCGCTGGGCTGTGGCTAGGGATAGGGCAGGCAGGATTTGCTCTTGGTCACACTGGAGGGATGCCCAGACCACACCCGGGCACTGGAGGAGTTCTGGGATACAGTGTCTGAATCCTCAGTGGCCACTGCTCTCTTGGCCCTGACTGTGCAAGGGAATCACGAACACAGAGACGTCATCGTAGGACACCTGTCCTTCCTCTGTGGGACTGTCTTCCTTTCCCTGTGTGCTGTGTATCAGCATCTGGGCCAGCTTCAAGAACCTGTGAAGACCATCCTGCAGATAGACTTCAGGGGCAGAGCAAAGGGGCAAGGCCAGCCCTCAGGAGAACTCACTGCACAAGGCTGGACATGGGGACCCAAGCAATGCAGTCCGACTGGGGACCAAGCAAGCAGCAAGCCTGGAAGGGCCATGGGCTGAACCACAAGAGGCTATATCCAGGGATTTTTGGAACCCTAGTCTCCCCTCCTCCTCCAAGAATCTTGAGACAGCCCTGATCCTGGCCAGCTGCCAGCTCATTGTCAGTGCTATCTTCTCAGCCATAACTACTTGGGCTTGCTGCTGGCACCAACCCAGGCCCAGGCAGGTCCCCAGCAGCTACAGTACCTGTGTGGGTCCTCTTGGTTCTCAGGGAGGAAGCTCCGCACCAGCCATGCCACCTGCTCGTTGGACAGGACATCCCAGAGTCCATCAGTCGCCATGACAACCACATCATCCTCCTGTAGCTCCAGCTGGCCCACATCCAGCACGGTCACCTACAAGTTAAGCCTGAGGATCTTGCACACTCCCTTCCCGACTCCCAACAGCCTCACTGTCCGCCTTTCTGGGCAAATGGAAGCTGGGTTGGACAGCGTTTCCCCCCTTACCTGTGGGACAGAGAGCAAGAAGGGCTTGAGCTGGATGTTTGTGTCTAGGACTCTGAGCTGATGGTCTCCCAGCCCCCGGGAGACAGCCAGTGTTCCTAGTAACCGAGCCTGAGGGAAAGTGAGGTGTGAGGTGATGGCAAATGGCTCCAGCAAATGCACAAGTACCAGGCCCTAGCACTGCAGAGCACACCAGGAGAGGTGGACTGTGGCCCTTGGAAGCCTTAGACTGAGAAAATTCCTGGACTCAGAGCAAATCCCAGGCCACCAGCCACAGCTACCAGCAAGAGGCAAAGAAAGGAGCTCCCACCTCTGCAGGGGACAATGAAGAGGGATTCTTGGGGTTAGGGGGTGCCAGGCACTGACCTGCCTACCCTGTCCATGGATCAGTGGGTACTTGAGATCCGATTTCTCCACACGTTTGTAGCTCCTACCAGAAGCAGAGCCAGCATCCATGCAAGCCCTGTGCCCCATCTCATCTTTCCCCAACTCAGGGCCCAGCTATCACACCCTCACAGTGCCCACCCTGCCAAGGTAGAGGGGGGCTGCCCCAGGCCATACAGCTGGGCCTGGATCCCAGGGGTCTCCCTTCCCACCTGTCCACCATCCCCACTCACCAACCACTCATGTGGTGATCCCTGAACAAAACCTTCTGTCCCAAGTCATCCCCCTTCAGCCGCCGAGGGAACTCCAGTCGGGTGAACTCGCCAGCCAGAAGCTCAGGGTAGACAAAGGCCTGGGGTGGGGAGGCTGCACTCAGGTCATACTCACTCTTGTGGCCCTGGACCCAGGAGTTGGGGCTTCACAGCCTCTATGGTGCCAAGGGCACCTACCAGCTGCTGGATCCGCTGCCGCTCAGTCTCTGGGGTGAACTCGAAGCTCAGTGGCCGTATCTCATCTCTTCGCACCAAGATGGCCCTGGATTGAAGAGAGAAGGGAGAGGTCTAGGAGGGGGGCTCCACCCTCACCCATGGCCACCCTCCTACCAGTCCTTCCTCCAACCACCAGGACCCAGCTCTGCCCATGATGATTCCTTAAAGCCCTCCATGACTACCTAAGACCTGCAAGGGTGAAGGTTTAGCCCTTTAGCAGGGCCCCTGAGGTCCCCGCCCTCCCCAGCAGCTACTGTCCACCCTCACACTCAACACATACCAAATACACACAATTCAGCCAGTCAATCCTTCCTACTATCCCTCCACTTCCAGCCACCTTTGCTTGTCCCCATTGCTGCTTGTGCTCTCCCCATCCCACCCTTGCCCACCTTCCAAGGGGTGACTCACCTGCTATCCCCAGCATTGGCCACGTACAGCTTTCCCTGCAGGGACACAGCCACCAGGGCTGTGCAGCCGCCCACCTGGCCTGAGGCCTCCAGCTCCCGCCCGATCACCTCGTCCTGGGGCAAACCAAGGCCACCTTAGCTGCTGCCTGTTCTGCCACCATACTACTTTGTCTCTCGATCCCCACCCTACCTGACAGTTCACTTCTACTAGCAGGCCTGACGGTCCCAGCCCAAAGTCCAGCCATGCCTCCAAGATCCCTGCAGTCAGGAGATCTAGACAAGGGAAGTGCTACTCAAAATAGGAAGAGAAACCAGCCACTGCACCAAGAACCAAAAGGGTATTCAATTAGATGATGCAGGTAAAAGCACTTAGCACACAGTAGGCGCTGGATAAAATGAGAGGGGTTATGCTGACAGTGATGGCTGTTAGTAACAACCCAACCAACCCAATCTCATCCTCCCAATCCAAGGATCTGGTGTGATGACCATGGGTATACAAAGATGCCATTTCCCGAGATCCCTAGGGGCAAAATCTCCACTTCTTTCCCAGCCAAAAGCCACACACTCACACATTCCTGAAAGGCACTCTCCAAAGCCCCGATCACCAAGTCTTCTGCCCTGATGCCCTTTTCCTCCACAAACTGAGGGTCACTGGGGCAGATGCAGCGGCCATTGAGGTGCATGGGAGGCTGAGTGGCCACCAAGCCCTCTACCACGGCCTCCAGCTGCCGGCGCAAGCAGGAGTGCAGGGTGTTGGCAGCCAAGATGGCTGCTGCAGGACCGCCGTGCCCATCGAACAGTGCCCAGTAATGGCCTGTCAGGAACTGCACAGGAAGGGCTCAGTGTCAGCCTCTGCCTGACTTCCCCAGTTGTCCCCTGACCCACCCTGAACTAGAACATGGGGCAGCAGGGTAAGAACCTCAGCCTGCAGGTCGTGGCCCCAGCCTGTAGGAGGGATTCCAGTCAAGAACTCAGGCTGCACTCACCTCCTCTGGGCACAGGGTCAGCCACTCTTCTTCAGCCCCAAATTCACATCTCCGGATGCACAGCTTCCCACAGGCGGCTTGATCCTCATTGAATTCAGATTTCTCTGCATTGATAATCCTGAGGCCAGAAAATGGTAAGCGACCCTCCAGGGACACACCTATGTCCCCATGGGCACAGGGAGAGGACCCCTCCCTCTGGGGCAACAGCTCCCCAGTGCTGTCCCTACTTAAGACAACCACGATGTAAGCTTCCTAACTTCAGTGGCCTCACGGTTAAGGTAAAAGTCAGGGCCCAGCTCCTCTGGAGCCTACCTGGTGACCCTGGGCTAGAAGGTAAGGGTATGTTGCCATTCCTGTCCCCTGCCCTGTCGCAGCCCAAAGCCCTGTTCCATACAGCGCAAGTCATACCCAGGGTGAGATGGTGGGGGTAGGGGGCGAGGGGAAATCTCCAAAGTCCCGAATGCTGGAACTCTACCGAGTCTCTGGGCCTCATCTTGGAAGCCCCTGGGCTGCAGGTCCTTCCCGACCTCCTGTCTTCTCTGAAGGGGAGGTCGGAATCCCAAGGAAAATGCAGGGTCGGGATGATGGGGACGTTGTCAGGATTCCGAGGAGAGGGCAAGAAGGGGCTGTCCACAGGTGGGTGGGGGCTGTCACTCACTCAGCTTCTCCCGCTTTCTAGGCCGGCGCAAGACCCGAGGCGGGCTCCGGCCCGGGCCCGAGCCAGGGGTCGGGGAGGGGCACTCACTCGGCGTAGCCTGCATTCCATGGCAGCGCGCGTCCTCGCGCGGGACTGCGCACGGGCCGGGAGTCTGGGCGGCGCGAGGCGTCGGCTGCCCCGGGGCTGGAGCTGGAGCCGCGCAGGAAGCGGGGCCGGCGGTAGGGCACGGGGCTGGCACGCGGCCCGGGCGGCCGCGGCGCGGGGAGCGGCTCCCCAGGCAGGAAGCGGCGCCGGAACCAGCCGGCGGACATGGCGCGGCGGCAGGGGGCTGCCCGCGGAGCGCGGGGCGCTAGGGCTGGGCAGCCCGCGGGAGGAGGAAGTGGGTCGGGGGCGGGGCCGGGGGGGGGTGCGCGGGCGGGAGGCGGGGCCGGGAGCGCGCGGAGGGGAGGCGACGCCCCCCAGCCCCGACCTCCGCCCGGGAGCGTGTTCGCTGCGGGCTTGCTGACTCCGGGGGTCAACCCTCGCGACCGCCGGCATCAGCCCCATTTGACAAGCAGGAAAACCGAGGCCCAGAGAAGCGAAGTGGCCTGCCCAGCGTCTCACAGTAGCCAGGGAGGACTGTTCACCCACGCTTGTGGGGCACTAGTGGTTGAGAGGAAAAGCCCCCCACACTTCGCGGGGCCAGCGTCGCGCAAAGCCTCAGATCTCCTCCTGCTGGGTGGGGACGTGACGCAAGGGGAAGATGGGGACAGGATGAGCTGGGAGGTGTCAGACCCGCACAATGAGTTAGTGTCTCCGAGCACAGGTTCCGTCAGGTGGCCTCGAATCCTCTCCACCCCCGCCTGCCACCCTCCACCCCAGACGGGCTTAGTGGTCACCTTGGCTTTCCCTGTCCTGAGAGGCTGCTGCCACCCTCCGAGGACAGTCTTCCAAATGGCTGTCCCTGCATTCAACATGTCCTCGCAGAATAGACAGCAGGATCCTTACTGGACTGTGAGTGAGTGATGGACAAGAGAAATCTGTGTGAGTGTAAAGAGCAATCAGTGGTGCCCCAAAGGCTCCTGCTGGTCCGAGTTCAGACCTGGGACGGAGGGAAGTGAAAGACGAGGAATCATCTTGCGGTCTCTCAACCACTGGCTAGCTGTCACCAGGGGGTCAGCAGCAGTGTCCTGTTCACATCTGCGAGTTAATAAAGCACTTTGTCACTCTTTTTTTTTTTTTTTTGAGACGGAGTCTCGCTGTGTTGCCCAGGCTAGAGTGCAGTGGCCGGATCTCAGCTCACTGCAAGCTCCGCCTCCCGGATTTACGCCATTCTCCTGCCTCAGCCTCCCGAGTAGCTGGGACTACAGGCGCCCGCCACCTCGCCCGGCTAGTTTTTTGTATTTTGTAGTGGAGACGGGGTTTCACCGGGTTAGCCAGGATGGTCTCGATCTCCCAAAGTGCTGGGAGCCACCAGGCTTGAGCCACCGCGCCCTGCCTTTGTCACCCATTTGTCACTCAAATCCAACTCCCTGTGCAAAAGTGTAACTTTGGCCAGACGCAATGGCTCACCCCTGTAACCCCAACACTCTGGGAGGCCGAGGCGGGCAATCATTTGAGGTCAGTAGTTGGAGACCAGCCTGGCCAACACGGTGAAACCCTGTCTCTACTAAAAATACAAAGATTAGTTGGGTGTGGTGGTGCGCGCCTGTAATCCCAGCTACTCAGAAGGCTGGGGCACAAGAATCGCTTGAACCCAGGAGGCAGAAGTTGCAGTGAGCCGAGATGGAGTCACTGCACTCCAGCCAGGGTGATAGAGCGAGACTCAGTCTAAAAAAAAAAAAAAAAAAAGAAAGAAAAGAAAAGAAGTGTTACTTTATATGGACGATTCTGAGGCCCATGGAGGGGAAGTCTTGGACACCCAGGGCTGTGCTGTTTCCATTACGACAATGCAGCTGACTCAATCCTCACCCCCAAGGCACTTCTCTTTCCCTTTCCTCCTCCAGGAAGCCAGGGCTTGCCAATTGAAAGTGGCTAAGGCCCCACAGCCCAGTGCCCCCGTATGAGCTATATGAGGAGTCTACCTTCACCTCCACTCCCTAGCCCAGGCAGACGCTCAGTAGGCCCCACTTCCTCCCAGCAGCTAGCCCTGCCCCAGTGGGAGTTCCTCAGGCCCAAGAAGGAAGGTTCTTAGGGCAGGGAGCTATGCCCAACACCCACTCCCTCCGATGACTCAGTTCCAGAGCAGGCTGGGGGCTGATTGACTGAACCCACAGTGTGTGCTGGGCCCACACTGGGCACAGGAACACAGTACTAATGGAGACAAGTCAGGCCTCTGCCCACCAAGCCCCCTGCAGTGATGGTAGCAGTTCTGGTGGATGCTGCTTCATCCAGCTGGCAAGGGATAGGGGCCACCTCAGAGAAAGTTTCCCAAAGGACCTCTGAGCTGAGAACTGTCACTGTGACAGAACAGAAATGTTCCAGGGTGGGGCAGGCCCAATTCAGTCTATGGGGCCACTTTCTTACCCTCACCAGTTGATGCCTCAGAGGATTTTAAAGTCTAAAATTGGACGAAACAAAGTGCATACACTCTATTCCCCAACCCACCCCTGGGTGGGGGAAAGCCTTGTCCTAAAGTATTTTCACAGAAGCTCTGGGCAACCAGATGTCATAGGCGGTCTGTTGCACAGCTTAGCCATTTTCTATTTTCAGAGCCATGTGGAACCACATGGCAATCCCATCTTCTCTGTTCCAAGGTGGCCTGAGTGTTCCTTCAGTGCTACCAGGCTCTTCTGACTTCCAGGGCTCCTGAGCGCCTCACTCTTGCCTGGATCTTAAGCCAATGTCTCCTGGTTTACTCCCTCATTTTGCTGAAGTGCATCCTTCAACAACTTTCCAAGAAAGGGTGACTGGGAGGTACTTTCCTGAGAGATTATTTATCTATCTTTTTCTGTGAATGGTCTGTTTGTATCCTTTGCCAAACTTTCTGCTGGGCCATTCGTCTTTTTCTGTTTTTTCTTCTTCTTTTTTTTTTTTTTGATACGGAGTTTCGCTCTTGTTGTCCAGGCTGGAGTGCAATGGCATGATCTTGGCTCCCCGCAACCTCCACCTCCCAGATTCAAGCAATTCTCCTGCCTCAGCCTCCTGAGTAGCTGGGATTACAGGCATGTGCCACCACACCCGGCTGCCACTGGTCTTTTTCTTATTGGCTTATGAGAGTTCTTTATATATTAGAGAAATCAGCTCTTTATTTTGAAATGAGTTACAAGTATGCTGTTCGTAACAAGTTACAGTTTGTTATTTGTGTTTTGGCTGTGATGGTGGCTTTTTCCATGTAGACTTCATTTTTAATGCAAATGGATTATTGATCTTTTCATAAATGAAAATAAAAATGTCAGGAACCCCAAATTTGTTATGCTAAAGGGAGAGTTAAGCTTGGAGACTGAGTCACACACACTGGCATTCCTTTTTTTTTTTTTTTTTGAGATGGAGTCTTTCTCTTCTGTCACCCAGGCTGGAGTGCAGTGGCATGATCTCAGCTCACTGCAACCTCCGCCTCCCGGGTTCAAGCAATTCTCCTGCCTCAGCCTCCCCAGTAGCTGGGATTACAGGCACCCGCCACCATGCCCGGCTAATTTTTGTATTTTTAGTAGAGACAGGGTTTCGCCATATTGGTCAGGCTGGTCTCGAACTCCTGACCTCAGGTGATTAACCCGCCTCAGCCTCCCAAAGTGCTGTGATTACAGGCATGCTAGGATTACAGGTGTGAGCCACTGCACCCGGCCTCTTTTTAAATTTTTTTAAAAATTTTATTCCGGCAACACTTCATTCTATGCTGTAGAACTAATGTTCTCCAAAACTGTCATTCTTTTCCCGAATGGATACCTGTTACCTTGCAACCTTGTGTCAAAATATTATGCATTAACCAGATCTCCATAAAAAGGCACAAAGCCTCACGCATCTCCAGGTGACTGCACTCACAAATTGCTCATCAGTAAATTCTCTGCCAGTCCCTAAAACTTTCAAGATGTATATCCTCCTATAAAACAAGCACGTCAATTGCAACTTTAGGTCTGCAACCTAAACCTAACTCCTAAAACCAAAGTCTGTTAAATTTCACACTGACAATGTCAATTACGTTTATCTGCTCAGGTGCAGAACAAGGATAGGATGAGATCAATCATTCCTCCACCTACCCTGAGACCTCTGCATAATTGGCTCTTCTGTTACTCCCTGTTCTTTCAGTGCTCAACCTATCTTCCATATAGCCTAGATTTACGAGACACTAATTAAGAGTCTCACAAAAACATATTTGCCTCACTGTCTTCTCCCCTTTATTAAAGAAATGTGGCCGGGCGCGGTGGCTCAAGCCTGTAATCCCAGCACTTTGGGAGGCCGAAACGGGCGGATCACGAGGTAAGGAGATCGAGACCATCCTGGCTAACATGGTGAAACCCCGTCTCTACTAAAAAATACAAAAAACTAGCCGGGCGAGGTGGTGGGCGCCTGTAGTCCCAGCTACTCGGGAGGCTGAGGCAGGAGAATGGCGTAAACCCGGGAGGCGGAGCTTGCAGTGAGCTGAGATCCGGCCACTGCGCTCCAGCCTGGGCGACAGAGCGAGACTCCGTCTCAAAAACAAACAAACAAACAAACAAACAAACAAACAAAAAAACAAAACAAAACAAAAAAAAAAGAAATGTACAAATATTGAGCCTCCTGAAAACTTCTTGGGAGAGCACAGGCCACAGACGTTTCTGTGACTTGTGTTGCTTTCCTGGGCACGCTCAAACTCTGGCTCAATAAACCTCGACCGATTGAAGCTCTTGCCTTAGTCTCTTATTTGGTTAAGATTTTCTTTTTTTTTTTTTTTTTTTTCTATAGACTAATTTTGGATGTGAAAGATTTTCTTTGATGGTTTCTGTGTTTGGTGACACAGAAGTTTCCTCCACTCCAAGATTCTACAAACTGCTCCCTTTGTTTCTTCAGTATTTTAAAATTCTTTTAGAGAGGGTCTCACTCTGTCACCCAAACTGGAATGCAGTGGTGTGATCAAGGCTCACTGCAGCCCTGACCTCCTGGGCTCAGGTGATCCTTTGGCCTTAGCCTCCCCAAGTAGCTGGGACTACAAACGTGTGATTGTGCCTGGCTAATACATATCTATCTTTTAATCTATCTGTCTATAGATACGTATATGTAGAGATAGGGTCTTGCCATGTTGACCAGGCTGGTCTTGAATTCCTGGCCTCCAGCAGTCCTCCTGCCTTAGCCGAGTAGCTGGGACTGCAGATGTACATCACCATGCCTGGCTAATTTAAAAATAATTTTTTTTGGTAGAGATGGAGTCTCACCATATTGTTGCCCAGGCTGGTCTCAAACTCCTAGGCCCAAGAGATCCTCCTACCCTGGCCTCCCAAAGTGTTGGGATTACAGGCATGAGC